AATACCACTATACCCTGGGGCTTTGGCATTTTTTTCTATATACAATTTGATCTCATCTGAAGTAACAGGAGGCTATTTACATGTATTTTCTATTGCTATTAAAAGGGAAGGCTAAAACATAAAAATACAGAAACCCCAAGTCAGAAGGATTCTGGCCCATCTAGTCTTTTCCCCCAGCTGCAGCCTGCTCCACTCATGACATGCCTACCATGTGCATGTCCAGCCTATCCTTGAAAATCCTCACCAATGGGGCTTCAGCCACCTCCAGTGGAAGCCCATTCCTTACCCTAGGGTCCTAATGGTCAGGAATTACTTCCTGGCATCCAAATCAAACCTTGGTTCCCTGATCTTTGCCACATTGGAACACATCCTGCCCTCCTCCTCAGGGGAAAACCCATGTCTCTACCCACCTCCATGTGACATCCCCTCAAATACCTACATGTTGCCAACAGATCTCCTTGGAGTCTCCTCTTCAGTCTGAAAAGACCCAGTTCCCTCAGTCTCACCTCATGTGGCTTTCCCTGCAAACCAGCCACCATCCTTGTGGCCCTACACTGTACCTATTCCAACCTGGCTATATCTTTCCTATAAATGTGGAACCCAGAACTGAACACAATACTCCAGTTTAGCCTGCAGTCGACCAGTAGCCCGAGATCCTTTTCACAAGTGCTGCTCTTCAGCCACTTGTCCCCTAACATGTACTTACAACACACATTCCTTTTACAGAAATTTCTGTTTGCGACCTGATTTGGTCATGAACTGAGGCATTTGCAAGCTGAGGTACCACTATACATCACATGTTTTCTCTGAAGGTTATTTTTTCTCTTTCCTGATTTTGTAGCAAAATCCTATACATGTTTAGGGTACACATAAGCCCTATTGAGTTCATTGTGGCTTACTCCCAGGTTAGTGTGCATGTATTTTGGCAAAATTTAATGAGCTGTTAAATCTTTGGTTCTACAAATGCCAGACTTTTGAAATAATGAGATGAGATTCACAAAACTGTTAGTCTAGACTTGTTCTTCTGTTCATAAAACTTCTCTGGGTCTTCATACATATATACAAAATTGAGCACAAAATGTGTACTTGCTTAAAACTGTGCACTTCATATTAGTCTATGCTGCTCTACAATGTGTAGGGCATTTATCTGCAACATTTTCTTTCTTCCAGTTTAGCAGAAAGAAATGCATCCAATTTCAGTATAACTACGTATACAATTTCAGGGTCAAATTTGGAACTTTTGTGCAGCATGGCATATTATCCCATGGCAAGCACTTATATATTTTAACCAGTGCTTTTTTTGTAAAAAAAAAAAAAGGTGCCGGAACTCATATCTTGGGGTCACACTTTTACGGAATGGTCGCTGCCGGCAGTAAGCACTCAGCGCGCGACCACAAAACCGATCCCAAGCTGAGCGGCGCCCTCACAATCAGCGCCGACAATCAGTGCGACACACAAGCAGCCTGCAGGCACTATGTTAATGATTTTTGCGGCTGACCTGCTATGCCCAACAGGGCGATTCACATTCACTTGGAAAAATCCATCAAAAAAAGGTGCCAGAACACTGTTCCGGTATGTTTTATGACAAAAAAAAGCCCTGATTTTAACAGAGAAAAAACCTCAAGCAGAACCCAACATCAGGCTTCCAAAAAAAGTAGGAAGAAAACCAGGACACAGCAAGAATGAATTTCGATGTCTCTACACCAATGCCCAATGTATGAGAAACAAACATGAACGTGAGCTCATAGTACATGAAGGCAATTACGATCTTATAGGAATGATTGAACCTTGGTGGATGACTCACATGACTGGAACTCTACATTTGATGGATAGAACCTGTTCAAGGAAAATGGAAAGGACATAAAGGGAGGTGGAGTAGCATTGTACCTGAGGAGTACATATATCTGCATAGAAGTACAAGAAGAGGAACTTAGTAACCCCATTGAAAGTATCTGGTTTAACTTAAGAGGAACCAAAAATAAGAAAACCTTAGTTATTGGCATCTATTATTGACCACCAGTCAAAAAGAGGATGATGCAACCCTCGAAAAGCAACTTGCCAGCATTTTCAAGAAAAATGATGTCATCATCATGGGGGACTGGGAGATTGGGACATGGGGGACTGTATTTCTGTGATATATGCTGGGAAACAAATGCTGGCAAGCATGGCCCCTCCAAGAGATCCTTGACATGGATTGGTGACAAATTTCTTCAGCAGAAAGTAGAGGAAGGTACAAGTGGATCGGCTATCCTCGATTTAATACCAACTATCAGGAATGGCCTGCTGGACAAAATAACAAACATGGGCACTCTGGGGTAAAGTGACCATGTGATACTTGGATTCTCATTTATACAGGAGACAGGTTTACTGCAGCCGAACACATACCCTGGACTTCAAGAAAGCCAACTTGAATAAACTCAGAAACATGATAAGCAAAGTGCCATGGCAACACACACCCTTAAGGGAATGGAGTCTTAGAGCAGTGGGAAATATTGGGAAAAAGGATTCTTGAAGCACAACTATGAACAATTCCATCAAGAAAAAGGTGTAGAAGACAGCAGAGAAAGCCACGTGGCTCCACAAAAAGTTAAGTGACAGCCTGAAAGCAAAAAAAAAAAAAAAAAAAAAAAATTGTACAGGAAGTAGAAGCAGGGCCATGCTACAAAGGAAGAGTATAAAATAGCAAGGAATTACTCAAATAGCATCAGGAAGGCCAAAGCAGGAAATGAACTGAGAATAGCAAGAGATGCTAAGCACACTAAAGAAAGCCTTCTTCAGATACATCCAGAACAAAAGTCATGAGAAAGAGAAATGTGTCCAGCTACTTAAAATGGATGGCAGAGTGTTAGCAGATGACAAGGAAAAGGCAGAGGGACTGAATTCCTACTTCGTCTCAGGCTTCTCCCACAAGAAAATCTACAACCAGAAATACAAGCTGAAAGTGGGAGGTGGTAGCCCAAGATTAACAGAGAAATGGTTAAGGAATACCTAGATGGAATAAACATGTTCAAATCTCCAGGGCTTGTTGAACTCCATCCCAGAGTCATAACTGGAACTATCAGAGGAACTCTCAGAACTACTGGCTATTATCTTCGATAAATCTTGGAAAACCGGAAAAGTGTCAGATGACAGCAAATGGGCTAATGTTTCCCTATATTCAAAAAAGGGAGAAATGATGAACCTAGGAACCATAGACAAGTTAGTCTGACATCAATCCCTGGAAAAAAAAATTGAGGCAATTATTTAAAAATCCATCTGCAAGCATCTTGAAGAAAATGCAGTGCTTAATAGAAGCCAACATGGATTTGTCAAAAGTAAATCCTGTCAGATTAATTTAATCTCATTTTTTGACTGGGTAATCTCCCAAATGGACAGATGGAACATTATGGACATAATCTATCTAGACTTTTGCAATGTTGTAGTGCCACACGACATTCTGATAAGCAAATTAGCATCAACTGGATGAAATGGAAAAACTATTCAGTGGATCCAAAATTGGCTGCTAAATTGGACACAAAGAGTGCCCATCAGTGGCACCTTCTCAAATTGGATAGAGGTAACTAGTGGGGTACCACTGGGTTCCATTCTTGGCCCAGTGCTCTTCAACATCTTTATGAATGATTTAGATGAGGAAGTACAAGGAAAGATAATCAGATTGTCAGATGATGCAAAACTGGGCAGAAAAGCAAACTTCCTAGAAAGAATGAATATCCAGGGCGATCTTGATAAACTTGAACACTGGGCTGAAGGCAAAAGAATGAGATTCAATAAGGACAAGTGTGATGTCCTCCCCTTAGGAAAAAGAAATCAAAGGCATCGATACAAAATGGGGAATACGTGACTCAACAGAACTGAAAAAGAAAACAGATCTCAGAGTAATTGTGCACAATAAGCTGAACATGAGCCAACAATGTGACACAGCCACCAAAATGGCAAATGCTTTTCTGGGATGCATTAGCAGAAGTATTACTTCCAAATCTTGAAAAGTAGTAGTTGCCATATACTCTTCACTAGTCAGACCTTATCTGGAATGCTGTGTCCAGTTCTGGGCACTGAGATTTAAGAAAGATGCAGAAAAATTAGAAAGGGTCCACAGGTGGGCAAGCAAAATGATACATGGTTTGGAAACACTGCACTATGAGGAGAGCCTGAGGGAACTGGGTTTGTTCAGTGTTGAGAAGACTCTCAAGGCTCTTACTCTCTGAGTACATGAAAAGCTGTCACAAAGAGGAAGGTCTAGATCTCTTCTTGCTGATATCAGAGTTAGGACACAGAATTGTCAACTCAATTTGAGACAACCCCAGTCTCAGGCTGGACATCAAGAAAAGGTTCTTCACTGTCAGAGCAATACAACAGTGGAACCAACTGCCTAGAGAGATTGTGGCCTCTCCCACACTACAGACATTTAAAAAGAAACTGGACAGCCATCTGAGTGGGAAGGTGTGTATTGGTGTCCTGCAACAGTAGAGGGTTTGGACCTGATGTCCTTCTTGGCCCCTTCCAACTCTGCTATTCCATCATCTATGATAAAATGCCTTGAAACTATGTCTTATGGTAACCTTAGGATAGTTAAGCAAGTTGAGGCTATTAAGTATCTATGTTATATTCATTTTGGGTATTTTTCTGTCCCCATTTGCAATGCATGTGTCCATATGCCATGGTCTTTTGTTCTGTGCATAGCAGTCCTGTGTGGTATCTGAACAGCAGCCCTTGCAGTCAGTGGACAGTGTATTTCTCTGATGTCTCCTAGTTTTGTTCCTGTAGTTTCCAGCAAAGTGGTAGTTTATTAAGGAAGACGCAGCTGTGCCAGTCATAGCTGAAATCATGGCACTGATAAAGGTTCTCTTCCTTATAATGAACATTGACCCTTACATAAATTGTTCTGTGATTTATTTAGCATATTAGGGATGTTTATCATTAGAATAAATGTAAACTAATGATTCCTTACTTTTTGTTTTGTTTGCTATGATGTATTTTATAATATTTTATTTTAAATGCAGGTGAACCAAGGAAATTTGATCCAAAGTTCAGCGGACCTATTCACAACAGGTAAATACTTTATTTTACTGTATTACAGTCCCGCATTGCTTTTGTATGTATAAACAAAGAAAGATGCACTCATATTCATTGTTGGAGTTAAGCAGCTCCAACAATATTTGGTCTTTATGGAGATAGACGGAAATACTGACCTGGACCCACTTTTGTCACAAGAGGCAATTGCTATTAGAAGAATACAATATCTAAAATCTGCTTCAATCTCTTTTGGCAGAGTCAAGCTTAGACTGGAAAAAATAAATAGAAGGTTTATGGTTTTCCCACCCTTCCTTCAAGGAGCTCATGGCGGTGATTGAATTCTAGGCCTTGTTCACAGTACAGATCACTAGGACTGGATGCTATTCACCTGAGAATTCTCAATTATAAAAATACCAGCTTTCTAACAAAATAGGTAACATGTGCCTAAAATTATACTATTATACTGGAAAATAGCCAAAGTCAGACCAAATTATTAAAAGATGACCCAGTAATTAATTGGTAGAAATTAAGTATTTCAATGGACAGGAGGTTGTCTGCTTCTCAGACTCTGGGTAGCTTTGCATTGGCCCAGAATCCAAGTTCTTGGCAACTGCTCCCAGCATTCTTGGAATACTCATCAGGAATTGAATGCCATGAGCTTCACAAGCAGAACCCTCCTTCCATGCCCACCACCACCGACAGCAGTGGGCAGGGAAAAAGGTTGGTCACCAAGAATGATGGCCAAGCACATGCCTGTTTGAAGTGCCCTCTTTTATACGCTGCAACTACTGGGATGGTTGCTGGATGCACAGCTGGGGGTCATCAGTGTTTGCAGACTTCCCCTTGGCTCAGCTTGCTCTGCAGGACTGGGTCAAGCATCCATTCCAAAAGAATTCATCCCAGTTACACTTACATCAGAGAGAATTGCATTGCCAAGTGGGACATAAGTCCCTGCAGTTTCTATCCCTGTTTTTGCTGCTCACTCCCCCCACATTGCCACTGGTTTTTCAATTGTATGCCAATGAGCTTATGTGCTGTCTCATGTTCATTTCCACTGATATTCCCAGCTTCACTTAGCTGCTGCTTTTGACAGCTGGAGCATACAAGGCAAGTCTACATGTATTGGACAGCTGTAAGAGCACAACAGTGAAGGATTTACACACACACATATACAGAGAGAGAGAGAGAGAGAGAGAGAGCGCCCTTCATGTATAAATTATGGATACAGTTATGCATTTTTCTACAGACATTTAAACATTGCAACTGAAGTGTTTTGAGACTCTTGGAAGGAGGGTGACAGTGGCAAATAAAAAGGGTAGTTATGAGAGTGAGGAGGGGAGACAAGATTGGTCTGCCATAAAGGATGCTAAGATACCAGCTGGAGGGACTGAGAGGGAAGAGGAGAACAATCTATGCTGAGCCAGATCATCTGTTAAGCACACTGTAGGTTGTTTATCAAACAGCCCATATTGTGTGCTTAGTTACAGGTTGCTTTGGCATCTCATATGAACCCACCCACTTTTGATGTAAAATTTTGATGTACTCCTCAAAAGGAAAAGCATCTTAGAAACATCAGAATGCATTCTTAGCATCCTTTGTCTAGTGGTCATGGCATCCTGCTCCTATAAAAGTGGCAAAATTAGTTACTAAGCAATCCCATCTGACTTTGTTTTAACTATAATGATATGCTATATAATGTTCCTGAAGAGTTGAAAAGCTTTGAAGTTGGGAAGGCAGAAGACAAGCATTGCAAGCTCTGTACTTTATCCAGTAGTCCTTACTTCAGGCAGAATTCCTATAAAGTTTAATGGTAGCTCAAGATGCCTGGTATCTTTCAGAGCTTACATGGTGTGTTGCAGCTTACTGGCAGCATAACAAAGTCATATGGTGATTTTAGTCCCCTGCTTTGTACAATGACAGCCTATTAAAAATGTATAGTTCCATGAAAATAACTCTGGATATTGCAGGTGTTTTTACTGTGCTGCCTGTACAACCACTGCATATTCCTTAACTAACAGAGCTAGTACATCCTATAAAGCTTGGTGTGTTTTTTAATCCTCAGGTGTGTGTGCAGTGAGGGTGCAATGTAGGGAACTTTCTTTCTGAATGGCTACAGGTTCTTTTCTCCGTATACAATAAGCATATATTCAGACCATCCTTTCTGCTGCTCCCTGCTACTACTGTTGGTCATTCTTCTTTATAAACAAGGAACATTTGTACTCATTACCTATTTTTTTAGTTCTGATTTTACTGTGTGACTGCAGTGTCCTATGAGAAATCACAGTGATCCCAAACATTGCCCAATATTTTAGCTCCATAATTGTCAAGGAAAATGAAGTGCTAATGTTTGTATATTCAGTTGTTACTAGTGTTTGTTAATGCTGACCTCTGCAGTGGAACAAGAGTATGTGCATATGTGTAGACAGGCTTGTCCCTTGTTTCTTTTTTGTGTTCACAAATTTCTTTTGGTGCATTCTTAACAGGCTGCTCTATGTTAAAGAATAGCTCTATTAGTTTGCATCTGCTCCTAGAAAATGGAATACAAGGAAGTAACTACCAGTATATATGCAAACAGCTATATTTAATGTGTAGATGGGCAGTTCTGATAAGCTTTCTGGCTTTTTTAAAAGATTTGCAACTAACCCATAGTGTCCTCCAGGAGTGGCATCCTCAGAGGCTTTTAGTTGTCAATACAGGACCAAAATCTGTAATAATGGTTAATGTGGTTTATCAGGATACATTGCTGGCCAGGGGAGCATTGCAGAATGCATTGAGGACTCTTGTCAGATTATTCCATGGGGCTAGAGATTTTATATGACTAATGGATGGGGTCATTATACATTTTTTATTTTATTAGGTTCCTTTAAGTAGTGTTGCATATCTCAGGGTCTCAAGATGAAACAGGCTTGACATTTTAAGTGGTTAAATGGCTTGTGCATAGGAAGCCTGTGCTCTGTGACTGTACATGTAAACTTAGCATGTTGGTTTGGTGTATATTTTGGTATGTAACTCTTTTCACAAGAGAAGACCTGCTGGATGAGACCAAGCATGTTTCTACCTGAGACAGTTATTATATATTTTTTCTAGGGAAGTGGAGATAAAGAGGAAGTTGCTTTCTTGAATGATTTTTTTTTAAATAAGAAGCAACTCTTCTCCCCCCACCCCTGGCCAGGCAGCTGGAAGGCTGAGAAAGTGCTGAAAGGGAAAACATTTGGACAGAGCTGAAAGGAATGCAGATTAAAGTCAATTAACATCTCAGGACTAACTCTTTGTGCTAATTTGTTTTTATTATAAGAAAATAATGAGCAATAAAGAGAAACAAACAAGACAGACTAAACAAGCAATTATGTAAAAGACTGTAATGAGACTGTATTTGTGAATTGTAATACTTGAGCTCCCTCTGCTAGCTAAATGTTAAATTGAAGCTGCTGATTCATTTATTATTTGAAAGTGTAACTGCAATTGTGGACTGCAAATAAGATATTCAATTCAAGAGCTCTCTCCTTTTATTGGAAATAATACTTGTAGACTGTATGTCCAAAGTGGAGTAAAAGGCCAAAAACTGTTTGGCAAAGACCCAGAGTGAAACAAGTTCCCTCTCATAAACCTCATCCATCAGATCTGTGATTGAAAAGAGTAGAGATGAATGGGAAAAAGAGAACATCACCGGAAAAATCAACGACTCCATCAACACAATTGGACAGTTCTAATATAATCTAATATAATTCTGCAAGAAATGAGAGAAACAAAGTCACAAATGATGTCAGGTTTTAATGATGTGAAAGAAGAGATAAAGAAATTAGATATTAAAATAGACAATTACAGAAGTGAAAGTTCAGGTGAAAGAACAAGATAAAGAGCTAAAAAACAGATGACCAAGATAGACCTGGTCTCCAAAAGCATGATTGAGAAAGAAATACAAAAAGAAATACAAAATATTGAAACAGAACAAGTTCAAAGAAATCTAATTTACTTGAAAAGAGAATTTTATGAAAATAGTAATAAAAATTCCAAAATGCTGGCCAGAGCCACACAAGTCAAAAAAGCAAGAAACTTATTTGGAGTAATAAAGAATGAAAAGGGGGAAAGATGTAACAAGATGAAAGAAAACCTTTAATTTTTCAAAGGTTTTTTTAAAATTTATATAAGGGAAATGAAATAGATCTGAAAGAAAGTCAGATATATATAGAAAAGTATTTAAAGTGTAAAATTTGAGAAGAGGATAAAGAAATCATAGAAACTCAAATAGAAGAAGAGATAGGAAGTTATTAATAAATTAAAAATGGGTAAAGCACCAGGATCCAATGGATTGGGTGCTGAATATTATAAAAATTTCAAAAAATTATTAGTCCCTAAGATGAAAATGATGTTTTATAAAATAATGGATAGGGAAACAGTTCCAAGCTCTTGGAAACAATCTATAATACTGATAGCAAAGCCTAATAAAGACCTTACAAACCCTGGATCTCATAGACCTATATCTCTTATTAACCAAGATGTTAAGATTTTTACAGCAATATTGGTAAATAGATTGAATAAATTTTTAGATAAATATATAAGGAATTATCAGTGTGGGTTTATTAGACGTCCACAAATATCACATGTAGTAAGGAGAGTATTAAATATGAACTACTATACTGAGAAGCAAAATATAAAGGCAATTATACTAGCATTAGATATATTTAAAGCCTTTGACTGTGTGGAATGGCCAACAGTGAAGCTCTTAATAGAAAAGATGGGATTCGGAGTAAAGTTTAAGAAAGTAGTAAATCAATTATTTTCAGAAAATATGGCCACAATATTTGTAGATGATGGTATTGCAGAAACAATAACCCTAAGCCGAGGGACAAGACAGGGCTGTCCCTTATCCCCAATATTAATTGCTTTAATGATGGAAGTATTAGTATTGGCAAATGCAATCAGAAATGATACACAGATGGAAGGAATTGGTGTATGTCAGAAAATTAAAATTAATTTATTTGAAGAAGATACATTTCAAAATCCAATGAATAATATAGAGAGAACATATTTACATT